GTCTTCCGCTTGACTCAATTTTTCATCTACTTTGTTCATTTAAAATTGACATTTTTGGCTTTATTTCCATTAATAGAGTGTATGTAGTGAAATTAAAATAACCAGTAATGGTAGTAGAAGTAGAATAAAAGTATAAATAATATAAATAATAAATAAATATAAATAACAGACAGCCAGGAGTTCAAGAAGCCAAAAGGCAACTGCGATTAATCTTGATATGGTAATTCCCAATTATTAACAGTTCTACCAAGTAACTCTTCACAAATATATTATACAAAAATAATCATCTAGTACCGCATACAAATTAAAAAAATATATATAACAGAAATCGGCTAAAACATTCAACATGAATTTCAAAAACTTTTACTTAATTTTCATTGTTTAATTGCATAAAGCTGCAAACAAATACATAGTTATATTCGCTCGCTCGTAATTTACAAATATTTTCGCATATATATTTACATACATATATTTTTTGTGTATTATTTATTGCAGGTTATTGCGCCCAAATCAATTTAAAATATTCCCAAATATTTTACTTATATAAAAGGAGTGCAAACGTGAAATTTAATACATTGAGATTTCCCTCTGCCCAAATGCACAATCTTCAACGAATATATTCCCAGATAGCAATTAAACAATTTGATGTATGCGCAAATATTTTCATGGAATCTTCCAGCTTTACCCTCGGAAACGCAGCCAACGGGTGGGGGGATTGAAAACATAGCTCATGCGTGTAATTTAAATGCAACTTTCAATTTTTATTTAAATAACAAATTTTCGACCAAAAACGGGCGAGCAACAATCAGAGAACAGATGCCGCTCGCTCGTTCCCACCCCAAAAATTTACCATATATATTTTTTCTTTCTAATATAATTTCCATAAAACAATAAAGGTATGCAGACAAAAATTTGTATATATGTATGTTTGAGTAGGAGTAGGACACACATGGGTATGGCTATGGCTTATACAGATGCAGTTTGCTTAGAACCCGGCTGAGAGTTCCAACTATGCAAATGGCAAACAAGGAACAGGGACACAACCACTGGCGACTTTCCACACCAGCTCTGGTGTGTTCTTAATTATACTCGTAGTGGGTACATACATATATATATATATATATATATATAGAGAGAGAGAGAGAGAGAGAGAGAGAGAGAGAGAGAGAGAGAGTAGACACAGAGAGATGAATGCATATGGTGCTGGTTTTTCTGGCAGTCTGATTTCGATTTCACAAGAACAAAACACAGCTATAAGGGGTTTATGTAGTGAGTGGAATGATGCGACTGGGGAGATACCCTCTAATGTAAGTCTTGTGGGAAGAATTCCATTTATTCTTCGCGGTGCAAGCGTTTGAGCAAGCTTTTGAGCTATCCTTAGCTATCGTAAGCAGTCTTGGATGAGATGTAGGTACCAATAAAAAACATGGCAAAAATATCCAGCTGTTTAATTTTCCAGTTAACATTATTTTGAATGATGCAGAAAATAAATTTAGCAAATATTGATGCAGTTAAAAAATATACAACATATTTTTATCTGCCTTCATCTGCCTGTCACACACATCTCAAAATACCCTCTTACACCCCTCGATTGCCACATAACCAAGGATAACCAGAAAGGGATACAGCCAGGATAGAAAGAAAAAAAGAGCAAATGTCGCGAGAAGTGGGCTGCTCTTTCAGTGGGTTATCCTTGACTGGCCCTGAGCCTGCAGCTAAATTAGCTTTTGCCTGGGTCACATGGATGCCAACAGCGCGCACACCGGATCGGCACCGGTTAGGCAGAAGGCTGGAGCAGGAAGTGCAAACAACAGCAAGAGCAAAATATAAAAGGCAGAAGACAAAAGGCAGAAGCAGAAGCAGCGGCAGCAGCAGCGGCAGCAGCAGCACCAGCGGCAGCAGCAGCACCAGCGGCGGCAGCAACAATTGAAATGAAACAAATGCAGAGTATGCTGTAAAGTGAAATGCAACTCTGGGTTTGGCTTATAAATAGACTCACATACACACTCGATGAGCAGAAGAGAGTGTGCAGGCAAAGCTGATGTGTAGGTGTGTTGTTGTTTTTCTAAAGCACAACCAGCCAACAGGCCAGCGCTGCATTCTTTTCAATTACTTTCTGCTTCTTGCTGCATATCCCATTGGGAGGAACATAGAATTTCAAAAAAGAAAGAAAACTGCACAGAAAAGATTAAAATTTGTGCCTGAGCCTTGGACAGCTATTGCATTTGTGGGATGAGTATGGGAAGGTGTTTAGAAGAGGAAATCAAAACAGGAGACAGAGATCACGTGTCCTTGTGACAGTGCTTGATCGAAGATTGCAGGAGGAAGGTTTCCAATACCCCAACCAATGCAGCAAAATTACAGTGTACCGATGTCGAAGCGAATAAGATTATTCCTTTGATCTTAAGAATTAATTCCTGTACATTCCATGTACATCTCCATCGAAGCTCACGTACCTCAACACAAGATACCCGAGTCTAATAACGGGTAAAATCTCACTGGAAAAGATATCAAAAGATAGCATTGAAAGAAAGCGTTGTCCTGAGCTTAAACAGGCCCCACCAGAAACCCCACCCTTAACTGCTAAGCTGCACAGAAAGAGAGAGACCGACAGAGTTTTGCTTTATTCCTTGCTTATATGTTTCGATTAGAGAGATTTGGTAATCAAAATAAATAGATAAACTCCTACATATATCCTACATACTTATATTTTTATGCCTATCGTTCATCTTGTTATTTCTACCAAACATCCAGGGTCCTGCCACATTCATGTATGCATTCGCTTCCTTTTTGCTCACGCCTTCCATTGTCACTTTACATACAATTCACAGCCAGATAAAAACTCCACAACCCTGCTTAAACATGCAGGGATATTTGCTTATGTGTCCGAAGCTCGTCTCAGTCCGTCCACACCGGTGCCCCACTCAGGGACACTTTCATAAATGAAAAAACCCCCACCCAGAGTTTTGTTTTCTATTTCTATTTGTTTAACGTGGGAGCGGTTTTGTTTTATTTTTCCTGTTAACTGTTTACTTTGTCGCGTATTAGAAAAGCCCCGAGTAATTTTTGCATTTCACTTTCACCAGATAAGTTCGCCTCTTGGTGAGGGGTTTGGGGACTTACGTAATTATTATATGCGCAGCACCCCTGGATGACGATTTATATTATATATCTGTGCCTCATCAGTTGCAAGCCACGGGTACTCCACCCCCTTGAGGCACACTAATTGCCACATTTTGGCCCCGCATGCAAATTGAACATCATTTTGGTATCCCTGCTGAAGCTAATTGCATTGCAACACGCGCTTTAAAGTCAATGAACGATTTGGTATTTGGCTTCCCGCAATTTGAGGCACAACACGCAAATGTCAAAGCTTTTTAAAATATCCATAAAATGTCGACTACAAAATGGGGCTGGGCTCCCAAAAATAGCAACAACAGCTGCGTAAATTGCCAAAACAATAAACATAAAATGTCATACACAGTGTGTTTTGAAAAATGTATGCAATGTTTTCCTTTCTTGGGGATTTTATCGATTTTTAAATGTGTTAACGTGGGTGGGTGGGTAGAGATGAGAACGTGAGTGGGTGGGTCGTGAGAGATCAAGAAACATTTTTTCCATTTTAAAGTACTTCTAAGTTTACTTAGAATTTTTCTTTAACTTCTAAAAGTATGCACTGCAAATCGAGTGGCTCATTGTGCTCGAAAGCCAGGTGTTCAATAAAAATTGTTTTGATTATGATGGCCAAACAAAATTAAATGATCAATATGAATTTTGGTAATATTATAGGGATAATAATTCTCTCTGCTTCCATATTTTCAAGAAAAATACTCTGTAAGCTAAATCCTTTAAAAGTTTTCCATCTCCAGCTTGCTTAAACTTTGCTTAGTTTTCATGTGGCACACAAATAACTTCAGGCAAATGTTAATAGCAAGAGCAGAAGAGTAGGTAGGAGTTGGTGTGCCATAGCTACCAGAAATGGCGCCTCCTGTAGTCGCCAAACTATTTGCATGTGTGAAGGAGTCAGAAGTTGGGCCCAAGAAATCCTTCTCATGGCCACAAATCAAGAGACAGAGCAACATGAAACAATATGTCAAATGATATTACACATTAAATTAGTTAAGACCTAAGCAGCATATGTATAATAAAGCTGCCTGTCGTAATCGTGTGTGTTTTAGAGTGGGTGTCAGTGTCAGTGTCTGAGAGTGTTCGTGTCAAGCATATGGGTTTTCCCACTTGCTCTTACTTAGCTTTTCCTTTTGACTGGCTCTCGGTTTGAGCACAATTTACCCAGCAGCAATTTGTCACGAAACATTTTCGTTTGCCCAAAAAGTACAAATGTTTATTATTTTGGTTTATTCGTTGGCTTTTTTGAGTTTTTGGTGAGGTTGCATGCTTCGCCTTCGAGGCGTTTCCAAGGTGCGTGTTCTCTAGGATGATTTTTGATGATTTCTTGACGTGTGTTCACACTGAAGCTAGCACAATAACATGACAACAGAGCGATTGAGCGAGAAGGTATTGAAGTGTGCCAAAAGTAAATTAAATTGTTCTACCCTGTTAAAGCTATCATTATTTATTTTTACTTAACTTTGGATGCTTTAAAACCACTCGAAATGGTAAATGCATTTTACCAGTTATACTCCATTGAGTAATTTATTTATAATGTGGCTTGCATTTCCTAAATTATACGGCTACTGGTTTAATTTAGCTAATGATTTAAATTTCTATTTTTAGCCATCATTTTTGTGCATGCAAACATGCGATGACGCGGAAAGTTGATGAACTAAACAAATGTGTTAAGAAAATTAAAAATGAAACACATATGAAAACAATGTGGTAAACAGTACAAATTTTTGTTAAAAACACAGTTTTTTTTGGTACAGTTGGCCCAAAACATAAATGCAATGCAATATTGTTTTAAAATTTATTAATGTGTACGAATTTTTGGTGTGAGAATCTGTTTATTGTGTGAGAGTCCGTGTGTGGGTCTGCGCACTCACCTATCCCTCAGGCAAATTTTGAACTCGTGCTGGGAATCATAATCGCTGTTAACGATGAAATTGTTCCTTTCCCTGTGTTCCCTATCACGTTCTCGCTCTCTTTCGCGCTCTCGCTCACGCTGATACTCCTGCATATTGGCCAGCTGTTTGTGGAACAGCTCCTGCTGCGATTGCAGCAACTCATGATGATCCTGTAGTGCCACCAGCTGTGACAACTGCTGCTGATATGGCGTTTGTTGCGGAGAGTTCGGGCGATGCCGCTGATACGGATGATGGTACGCCGCATGATGATTCAAATGATGATGATGCGGATGACGATTCTGTGCCATTGTCCTGCCGCCGCCAGCATGCTGCTGTTGCTGTGGATGATGGTTATTCTGTTGCTGTTGCTGAGGATTATGCACACTCGCTGAGCTCTTCAATTGTGTCAGCTTGTGGCAACTCGTGACCTCGGCGAGGCCAAACTCCAGCTCGGCCTGTGCCTGCTGCTCGTAAGCTTGCTGCGCCTGTTGCAGTCGCTCTCGCTCGTTGCGCGGCGAGTTGGCCAGCTGTTCGGCTGGCGGTTCAATCTCCACCGCCGAGTAATCGTAGTCTAGGTGATGATGATGATGGTGTAGGCTCTGTGCGGGTTTGCTGATATTCCCAACAGCAGCAGCACTGGGCGCGGTCACGGCTCCAGTTCCAGGCGTGGCTGTGGCTATTTTACCCGCCAGTGCATCCAAAGAACTTAGCATGATTTAAAGCAACCTTTAGGATTCGCTTTCGTTCTCGCTGTCTAGCTCTCGCTCCAGCTCGCGTTCTCGCTTTTACTCTCGCTCCAGCTCTCGCTCCAACTCTCGCTATTGCTCTCGCTATCGTTCCTTATGGTTGTTGTTTCTGCATATACAAACTGCTTGCAGCTCTGCTGTATGCCGGTGACGGGTTCAAAAATTCTCTTTTATCACTCTGCTTTCAGGTTCTGTTTTTTTGTTTTGTTTTTTGGTATTTATTGCTTAGAACTTGCCTGAGGGAGAAGTTGGGAGGCAAATTGCATTGGATTAGTATATTTTAATGAATATTTATTAGTTAAGGTAGCAGAAAAAAAACGTGAGTGATGTGAGTGATTCGACCTTGACAAGCATGCTTCTCATTTGTTCTTAAGGACAGGTAAACGGGGGTTTTATAATTTATCTCTTAAATATTCTTTGTCTTTATTTTGTAGTTTAGGTCAGCTACATTTCACTTAAGCTCTGTACTATGTACAGCAACACACAAATAAAACAGTTCAGGGCATACTCACAGGACTCTCACACTCATGTTCATTCACTCTCTGTGCTATGCAAGTGCTTCGTGGAGTGTCTGTGCAGGGTACACGTGCATGTACATATGTACACCTGTTTGTGTGTCTCGCTGCCTGACCCGACTTTCACGAGTGCGTATGTGGTTGTAAAATGCAAACACTTGAGCTAGAAAAGGGCTAGCCGGCAAGCCAATGTGACTTTCGGGGTACGAGCGGCAGCTAGGTGGAACTCGAGTGCTTGCTGCTCTCATTGTGTCCCGTGTTTGCTGGCCCTCACTCGGTAGAGTCCCTGCTATGTGGTCAAAATAATTGGGGGGACAAAATTCAATTGGAAAATTTAATATATTGAATACATTTTTTGGGGAAAATTATATTAAATTTAACAATTTAAGCGCAATATTTTAATGCATTGTCAAGCCAGAAATGTTAGGTTCAATATTGTGCACAGCTCTTGCACTTTGCTGTATAAAACATGAAACGAGAAGGGACTATTTGAGAACTAGCCGACAAACAAGATGGACAGACGGATAGACAGACATGGCTCTATCGACTCAGCTATTGATGCTCAAGAATCAATATACTTTATGGAGTCGGAAACGATTCCTTCTGTGCGTTACATACAACCATTATTCACACAAATACAATATACCCTATTTGCTCTTCGAGTACCGCGTATAACAAATCTACAAAAATTCATTAAAACTGTACCCAAAGATTCTGCCTCAAATTAAAACCAATCTAAGCACTTACAAGCTCTGGACAAACCCAATTTGAAGAGTTATCTCTGACAACTCAGAAGAGCGTGTACGCACTCTCATCTCTCACTCAAGTTCATTTGTGGATTTTGCAATGAATGTAGATTGCAATACTTTGTGGCTAGCCCTGGAGAGGACCTGTCCAGCACAGCAGGTAAACCCTGGCACTCTGGAGAGAGTCCAGCCAGGAGCCAGTAGCAGACAGCAGTCGACCACACATCACATCCTGGAAAGCTACTTCCCACACTCTATGTTCTGATTTCTCCATCAGTGCTCAGTATTGTACATATCTATCCTTAACCACTTCTCTTTCTAACTCAAACCACTGGTAAACCATATCCTACTTTTGCGCTCAACACCTGCAAAATATCTTCAATCAAATTTGGCAAAGCTTACAACAAACATTTTGTGCACAAAACAAAACTAACAAAAAACTACAAAGTTTGCTTAGTATCTATGCCTTTGGCAGCGACGATTGTGGGGGGTAGAGCGGGTGTGGTGTGTTGCGTGTGGTAATAGAAATGTAAAACCCCATTGTCTAGCCATGCGGCGTTTGTGTAGGGAATTGGGTTGGGTTTTCTCTACCCCATTCTTGATGTTTGTTGCATGCATACTATGGAAGTCAACTTTGAATTCAACGCTGTGTGCATTTTACGCATACAAGCAGATACAGGTACAGATAAATATGTATAAGTGTATATGTATATAAGTCCTGGTAGGTATATGTATGTATATCTCTGTTGGGCTCTGTAGATTTTGCACCATTCATTCCCATTTCTGTGTTTATTTGTGTGCCTTGCAACTTAAAGCAGTTCTGCCCATGCCACCTCCATTACAGTTCCACTACCTTAGTGCCTACTCTTCCTTCTCTTTCTCCACGCTCTTTTTCTTCTTCGCTTTTTGCAGCATTTGAAATGAATTTGCCTTTTACAAGATTTTACTCTTTGCAATTTACACGCGTCGACCGCTTTCCCGTAAACATACTCCCCCACAGCCAGAAATCCTCCCCCCAGAGCACAACCTATGCAATGTTGGTGTTGGATGGGATGTTGCAAGCATTTGGCTTTTGTAAATGTTACTTCCTTATTACATGGCATTATATTATTGCACACACACAGAGTCTGCGAGCTATCAAAGTAGTCTGCGTCTCAAAAAGGTGTTTGAGATGGGTGCATATGTGGATGACTGCTTGTTACATACTTTCCAGGATGTTTGCAACAGCAACAGAAGAAAATATAGAAAGAAATCTTTGCTTTTGCTGCGCGTAATTAGCAAAAATGGAAAGAACATGTACCTGAAAATATCTTTTGAGTGCAAGAAAAAGGCAGATCTTTGCTTTGATTAAATTAAAGTTAAAATTTTAAATTAAAATATTTTTTTCCTTGTTGGCTTTTGAGCATTGACTGTTTAATTTGTTATGGAATTATTGTTTCTATATTTATTTTGCTGTAGCTTTAATTACCCAATAGAATTATTAAAGGCATTTTACTGGCATGGCATTAAATTAAACGAATTTAAAATCATACTGATTTAATTGAATTAATTGTAATACTCATCGTATAAATCAAAGTATAACTTTCCATTCCCAATTCATTTTGAATTGATTGTAAATTTCGCTCCTTGCCTGAAGCCAACTATTAAATTCTTTAAAAACCGAAATTAGCTTTTGCCTTAAGTTTTTCCATGAATTTCTACAGCTTTTTAATTCCTTAAAAAACAATTCAAAGAACGCGCCATAGCCCCAACCCCACTCTGTGCTAAAAAAAACTAAAAAAAAAACTAATAAAATGAATTTATAAAAGAGTGGAAAAGCTGTCAATAGAAAAATGAGTATGTTAGCTGTGCCACAAAATCCAGGGAGAAGAAAAAGAGTCAGTAACTAGGATGCAGAGGCAAGAAATAGAGCCAGATTCCAGGAGACAGAGACCAGAAGCCAGTAAGCTCTCGGCTTACGTAGTAAGCTGAGCACTCTTTTTATGGATAGTTTCACATTGTCATCCCATGTTATTGTGTTTACCGAAACCTGGTTAAAGCCGGACATTCTTAGTTCCGAAGTTTTGGCAGATCGGTACACAACTTATTGAAATGATCGTTCGTCTCGACGTGGAGGAGGGGTTCTGATTGCAGTAAACTCTAACTTTACGTCGGAACTTTTCATAGTCCAGGTCTCACAAGACCTGGTATTCCTCTCTGTTAGACTGATTCTTCCCGGCCAGTCTATTTATGTCACTTGCTCGTATATTCCACCGTCTTCGGATGTACTAATATACGAGCAGCACTTGTCTGCCTTAAAAACTGTTTCTTCTTCGCTATCAGATAAAGACCATTTAATAGTTCATGGGGATTTCAACCTGCCAGGTACTGTTTGGTCTTCGGTCTTCTGTCTCAAGTCAACCATGTAAAAAACTCCTTGGGTCGATTGCTTGACCTGTGCTTTGTCTCGGATCCGACCGCAGCGTTGTTAACACGAGCACTCCCGCTCACTATACCTGAAGACTGCTATCATCCTACTTTCGAAGTGTCGATAGATATTTGACCTACTGTATCGGATCGTGCGGGTAGGCTATCTGAGCGCGTCCGCTGCTTTCGTAAAGCCGAGTTTACGAAGCTCAATAACTTAATTCGAAATTTTGATTGGTCCGCTCTGTACTTGTGCAGTGGACGTCATTGAAGGCGCAGACATTTTTTACAATGTACTTTAAACAATTTTTGACACGTGTGTCCCACTTTCATGTCCGACTAGATCTGCGAAACCGCCTCGGTTCACCAAAGAGTTATCCAGTCTAAAAAATCTAAAATCAAGACTATTTAAAAAATCTCAAAAAGTTGGTTCTCCCTCTTCTCTTTCTAATTACTTAATAGCTCGGTCAAATTTCACTGTTCTTAATGCTCAATGCTATAGGAACTACCTCCTTCGATGCAGGATACGTTTTTTACAGGACCCTAAACAGTTGTACAGCTTTGTAAACAGTAAGCGTAGAACGTCCGCACATCCATCCTCGCTATCATTTTTGAATATGTCGGCAAACAATGATCAGGCAATCGCCGATCTTTTTGCAACATTTTTTCAAACAACCTATTCCCAGCAAAGCTACCCAGGTCATATGTATCCATATAGTTTACCAAGGTCGAATGGCATTTTCTGTCCTTTCTTTAATGAAGGCTCCTTACTTAATGAACTTAAATTAGTTAAGCCGGTATTTTCACCGGGCCATTTTGACGGACTTCCCGGCTGTGTACTGAGGTACTGTGCCGAGTCTCTCTGCGGACCTTTGCTTAAACTATTCACTCTATCTATCCATTCTTTTAGCTTTCCCCCCATCTGGAAAGAATCCTTTATAATTCCTCTCCATAAGAAAGGTAGCAAGTCTGACGCTAAAAACTATAGAGGTATATCTAAGTTATCCGCTATTCCTAAAATGTTCGAGAAACTTGTAACTCCGCACTTGAAGCATCTCTGCAAATCACTTATATCTCCAGCACAGCACGGATTTATACGGCGACGATCAACAACCACTAATCTTTTAGAGTTCACCTCCTTTGTAATTAAAGGCTTCCAAGGTAACTTGCAGACGGATGTTATTTACACTGACTTCAGTAAGGCATTCGATTCTGTAAACCATTCTCTTCTTGCACAAAAGCTCGACCTTCTAGGGTTTCCGCCCAATCTGTTGAGATGGATTTCTAGCTACCTGTGTTCTAGGTCTCAAAGGGT